TGTATTGACTGCATGATCCAGTTTTGCAAATTATATATATATGTAATATATGTAATTTTGTGCATGCATAGGAAAAAGACTGGGGTATGGCAGTGTTTTCATTGGAAAACTCTAGATAGTAGATTTACAGAGGATTTTTTTTGGTTTGTCTTTAATTTACTAATATTATTAGATAGATCATGCATTGCTTTTGTAATTTGTGCTTTTTCCCTCAAGTACTTTATTGAAATATACTATTGCTAAAGAATCAGAACTAATGTGCACTATTTCTGCATGTCTATGTGTATGTGAGTGAGGTGCACAGACTTCCCTGAAAAATTCAATCCCTGACAAGACTAGCAGAAGTGAGGAAGCTGGGGTGAGAATGAGGAAAGTCTGTCACTCTTCGTGGGATCTGTCAATAGTCACTGCACGAGCCTTGAAAGACTTCTTCTTTGACCTGCACACATCATGTACATAGTCTTGTCACACACATAGCTTTTCATTTCATTCCCGAGAGCTACCAGGCACATTGAGTTATTAGGTGTTATTTTCTAAAATATCTTTCTTTGAGTTTGGACATGTTACAATTGTTCATCATTGTTGGAATGATGATTAGAATCTGAACTGAGAAGTAGGGCCAAGTATTCAGATACCCTATGGAAAAATCCATTAATTCATAGGATACCTCTGAGCCACTCAAAATTAAAATAAAGTAATACTAAGGTCAACGAAATGTATGGGAAGAAAAGTTTATGTTCATCAGCAGTTGCAAAGAATGAAATAGTTAACACGTAAAATAAAATCTCCATTTATTTAGGCCCCATAATACAATTCTGTCCATTGCTGAGATCACCAATATTAATGAATCTGCCAGGCTACTTTACTCATAGATAACAGAGCTCATGTTCACTGAAGTTATGTTCTAGAAGTTATTCCATTATCCCTAACCCTACAAATTTCCTCTGTATGTCTGTTGGTCAGTGTAAGGACTCCACTGTCTGTTCATATTAAAAGCAATGGTGAATTCAAGAATTATGCTTTTTTTTTTGCATAATCATAAAAGTAAACCAACAGAGCAGTGAGTAGTTTTTGAGTGTCTACTATGTCCATGTATTGTGCTAAATGCTAGTGATGCAGAGATGAATATTTAGAAGAATCCTATCTAACATATGATATATTTTGCTTATTTATCTAGTTTTTATTTCTGTCTCTCACACTAAAATATACTCTTGAAAGCATGTTTTTGTCTGATTCTTTCTCTGCAATATTCCTAGAAACTGGCAGACTATAAGGAAGCTGATATTTGTTGAATGAATGAAGTTCCTCTGAGGAAAGACTGACAAAAGCAAAATTATGATGCTTTAAGTGACATAATAAAGACATGTAAAATGTGTCACAGGCAGGGCTTTGTACTGGTATATGACCCCAAATGTGGTCATTAAAAAGTGTA